TGAATGGAACGAATCGACAACGCAGCTGTTTGTTCAGCGTAGAGATTCGGCCAAATGGAGGCTGGTAGGGATAGACTGTGCAGCTTGAGGTGCACAGGATTGCACAGTAATGCTGTCTTCGACTTGGGATTAAACTTGATTTCCGTCTCAACACGTAGCACCTTGAGGCCACAAGATGTGGTAGACAAGTCAGAAGTATATGCCCCAGTCAGCTCGAGCCGAGTTCCATATACGGTAGCCTAACCAGCCGAGCTCGAGCTACATAGCTCGCACTCGCAGCACCAGTCTCAACAGCTCTGAGATTTATATCTATAGCACCCTTGTAATTCTATCAGAACAGTATGGAAGCCTGTCAGTCAAGTGACATCAATCGACAGCACAGCCAGTGTGCCTTAGCGCTCGCATCTTGTCTTCTCCCACCATGGCTGAGGTACTAGGGATCGTCGACGCCGGACTCAGTCTTCTGAGTACTGCGCTGAAGGTCAAACAAGTCATTCAGGATGCACACAAGGCACCACAGGAACAGCAGAAACTACTGGCAGAGATGGAGGATCTCAAACTACTTCTGGACGAGCTCCGTCGCCACATCATTGCTAATCCATCTGCGGGTGTTCTTCGGCAGATGGCGGGCCCATTGACAAACTTGTGCAAGGATGTGAAAGACCTGACCGAAAGGTTGCAGCCGGGGAAAGGGTCACTTGGAAAACTCAAAAAAAGAGTGGAATGGTCAATGAGCAACAAAAAGAAGACAGATGAGGATGTCAAAAAGTTGGAGCAATTGAAAAGTCTGATTAATTCTTGGTTGATACTGGACTTCTGGTATGTTGGGTGGATTCTTGTGCAAGTTGTCTTCTGATTTTATCGCTTTCAGGGATCAAATGGATGGTGATTGTAAGAATTTGTTGTTCATTCAGATGTTGAACATTTTTCAGCTGCTAAACGGAGTGCAATAATTGAATGGTTGTCCCCAATCAATTTCTTTGTTCGGCAACAGGACATTTCCAAGAATCGACAGCCAGGAACAGGTGAATGGCTGCTCAATGATCCCAAGTTCAAGCAGTGGAAATCAAGGACCGGAGGAATTCTGTGGTGCTCTGGAATACGTGTGTAACATCAGCATATTATCAGTGTCTCAGCTGAGTAATATCTATAGCTGGTGCTGGGAAGACTGTTCTTGCGTAGGTCCCAATTCCACTGACTGATTTCTGCTCATGTATATAATTGTAGCTCTCTTGTGGTAGACCACCTACGTGCCCTCCAAATCAAGGATATTGGAGTGGCATGCATCTACTTCAACCACAAAGAGACCCAGGTCCAAACCCCAGACAATCTGCTGGCCGGACTTTGGAGACAGCTTATCCCAAACCAACCTCTTGGTTCTGCACATCAGCTATATCAGGAACATGCCGAGCAGAAGACAAGGCCTTCATATAAAGACATTCAGAAACTCTTGTCTTTGGCACTTCTCAGGTTCACACAGGTTTACATCATTCTGGATGGGGTTGATGAATACCCAGAGAATCAGTGGACTTCACTAGCCCAGGACTTGCGTGACCTGGGACGTCTCAACCTCTTGGTCCTGTCACGGCCCCATATTTCTCCATCTCAGCTGCTTTCAAATCCTGTAACGCTTGAGATATTGGCAAGCCAGAGGGACATAGAGGTATATGTAGAGGCACAGATCCAGTTGTCTAGTCGCCTGTCTCAGTATGTCAACAGGGAGATGGGGTTGAAGGAGGAAATTTGTTCAAAAATCAGCAATACTGTTGATGGAATGTGAGTCCAGTATTCATCGGAGGCAATCATTTAACCAGTCACCCTGTCAGGTTCTTGCTCGCCAAGCTTCATATTGATTCTTTGCATACAGCAACCAATATAAAGGAAGTTCGACAAGCTTTGCAACATCTACCGAATGATTTGGACCACACATATAAGAATATCATGGACCGAATCAATACCCTCCCCCAAAACCAACAGGAGCTTGCACGATCAGCACTTATCTGGGTTGTCAACACAAAAAGACCTCTGATCAGTGTAGAGCTATGTGAGGCTCTAGCCATTGAGCCAGGAACAAAAGCATTGAACAAGGACAATATCACTGATATTGCTATCATCCTTTCTGTCTGTGTTGGTCTGGTCATCGTGGAAGAACACAGTTCTTTGGTCCGACTTGTCCACTTTACTACCCAGAAATATCTCGATGAAATCCAAACTAGCGAGCTTGCAAATCCACACCTCAAAATCACACAGAGCTTGCTAACATATATGCAATTTGAGCAATTCTCGCACAAAGAGATCATTTTTGGGGACAATAGGCCACCACTTCTTGATTATTGCCAATACAGTTTGGTACATGCTCAACAGTGTGAAGAGCAGTTGAGAGATCACATTATAGAGTTTTTGAAAGAAGTCGAGATATACCGGAAACAGTGGTACCGGTATCCATGGGAATGGCAGTCTCCTCCATGGAACTTTGATTATTGGCCTAACTCTCCCTCATCTTTATGGTTTGCAGCCTCGGCAAATATGGTGAAGATAGCGAGTTATCTCTTGGAATGTGCTGGAGAATATGCTGACACTGAAGCACTGGCTGTTGCAGCATATTATGGCTACTGGAATATATGCCAGCTGTTGCTTGAGAAAGATGTGGATGTGAATGCACAAGGAGGGCATGCACTCCAGGTAGCAGCCAACAGAGGTCATTCCGAGATTGTTCAAATCTTTCTTGACAAAGGGGCAGATGTGAATGCACAGGGAGGAGAATATGGAAATGCACTCGAGGCAGCAGCTGACGGAGGCCATTCCGAGGTGGTTCAGATCCTTCTTGAGAACGGGGCAGATGTGCATGCACAGGGAGGACTCTATGGAACTGCACTCCAGGCAGCTGCCCTCGGAGGCCATCTCGAGATTGTTCAGATCGTTCAGATCCTTCTTGACAAAGGAGCAGATGTGGATGCACAGGGAGGATACTACGGAAATGCACTCCAGGCAGCAGCTGTCGGAGGCCATCTCGAGATTGTTCAGATCCTTCTTGACAAAGGTGCAGATGTGAATGCACAGGGAGGACAATATGGAAATGCACTCCAGGCAGCAGCAGCAGCCTATGAAAGCCATCTCGAGATTGTTCAGATCCTTCTCGACAAAGGTGCCAATGTGAATGCACAGGGAGGAGAATATGGAAATGCACTCCAGGCAGCCGCTTACGAAGGCCCTCTCGAGATTGTTCAGATCCTTCTTGACAAAGGTGCAGATGTTTGTGCACAGGGAGGAAAATATGGAACTGCGCTCCAGGCAGCAGCAGCAGCCTACATAAGCCATCCTGGGCTTATTCAGATCCTTCTTGACAAAGGTGCAGATGTGAATGCACAGGGAGGACACTATGGAAATGCACTCCAGGCAGCCGGTTACAGAGGCCACTCCGAGATTGTTCAGTTCCTCCTTGACAAAGGGGCAGATGTGCATGCACAGGGAGGGTCCTTGGGAAATGCACTCCAGGCAGCAGCCAATGGAGGTCATCTCGAGATTGTTCAGATCCTTCTTGACAAAGGGGCAGATGTGCATGCACAGGGAGGGCATTTTGGAAATGCACTTGAGGCAGCAGCCTATGGAGGCCATTCCGAGATTGTTCAGATCGTTCTTGACAAAGAGGCAGATGTGAATGCACAGGGGGGGGAATATGGCAGTGCACTCCAGGCAGCAGCAGCAATCTACATAAGCTATCATGAACTTATTCAGATCCTGCTTGACAGAGGGGCAGATGTGAATGCACAGGGAGGGAAATATGGGAGTGCACTCCAGGCAGCAGCTGTGCAAGGCCATTCCGAGATTGTTCAGATCCTTCTTGACAAAGGTGCAAATGTGAATGCACAGGGAGGAGAATATGGAAATGCACTCCAGGCAGCAACTGACGGAGGCCATTCCAACATTGTTCGGATCCTTCTTGACAGAGGCGCAGAGGTGGATTCACAGGATGGCAACGAACTCCATGTAGCCACTTAGAAACTCATTGGATAATTTGTTACGTAGAATTGTAGCATATTTAAAATCATGTGTATGAAATACAACTCGTGGTTTGGCCTGACAGCCTGATAATTATCCGGAAAGTATGTGTAGTGTGCTGTTCTCCTCACTGACATCCACTCCCAGCTCTGTCTCCGCCACTCGGACAATGAGGTGTTTTACAACTACTCAGGTTCCTACCCAGCAGTCCTCGCGATGCTCATCACACTGGTTGAACAATTCCAGTTCTTCACGCAGTTTTTTCAGTGGAAATAAGAGTGCCGCGGGGCGCTCTGCACCTCACTGCTTTGCTTCAAATTCCAGGGATCATGATGATGTTAATCTGGAAGAAGCTGTTGAGACCCGAAAGTCGAAACAGGGCTATTAAGTTTCATGTGCACGGTAAGTTTCGGCAAGTCTCGGCATACTCGGTATCACGAAGCCGAAATGTCCGAGTCTTTGGTGGTGCCGCCGCAACACATAATCCCATCAGCGAAGCCTAACAGCCTCGGACCGGCATGCACGTAATTTTGTAAAGAGGGAGAATGCTGTTTGTTTCACACAAGTTTCACACCTATTTCTCCCCTGAAACACAACTCTCTGTAAATCTTTCTATCCATGTGCCAAAATCCATCTCAATTTGTACACTCTGACCGCCAGACTAGTGGTACTGTACACCGCCTATCTAAATGGGAAACGTGTTCTGATGCCTTTATAGCTTAACTGCCCGAGCTTTCTCTCATCCTAGCTGGTTCAAAATTTTAAGAGGAAGCCGTCGGTTCGACTCCCATCGAGGGCGTGACCTTTCATTATCTCCTTTTTTGTTCGTTTTCCTTTCCTAATTTTTCTACGTGTTTATATATATACTTATTATCGCATCTCACCTTAGGCTTGGTCTATATATATATCGCCCTGGCTTTCCGCAGCGTTGTGTCCAAGAAAAATACCGAGGTTCGTAGTGAGCTGTGTGTTCTATTCGAATAGGTACGCCAAAGGCACATGCCCTCGTAGCTTAACGGCCAGAGCCTCCTCTTATCCTGAGGTTGGTTGCAGAGAATTATGGGGAAGACGTGGGTTCGACTCCCACCGAGGGCATCTGCCTTAATTCTCTTTTTTTTTTTTTGCGTTTCTCTCTCGTATGTACCCAAAGTAATGTTCCTACTTTTGTTTTCGAGAAGAAATATCATCTTCTCTTCGCGCGCGGTACCCGGTACAAAGATTGTGCACAATGTATGCTTCAATTCCTTTTTGTGTCGTGCATGGAGATACAAACTGATAATCAGCAGGCAAAGTGCGGGAAATTTGTGACGTTCAGATTCAGCTTAACATTCAGATTCAGATTTGCACTTCAGTTCTATCTATCCTACACCCTCCTTGCCCACTCGCCTACATCCCTACAGTACAATCCAGATAGATGGAGTACAACGCATCAAAACATGCTGCCCTCGGGCGGCTGGGGGAGCTTGCGGTTTGCAGGGGAGGCCATTTCTCTGTTGGTGTGCGTCAGTGCCATGAAGGACGGGTAATACCACAACAGGAGCATAAGGATGTGGAATGTGGAATGTAAAGTGCGCGAGGAGGATTCAAGAAGAAAGATCAAGTGGGAAGGAAGGAAACGAAAGGCGGATAGACGGAAGGAAGCGGAGACGAGGAATCGAAGTCGAGGAAAAGTCGCAACACAGTAAGACGAAGACGTACTTCCGTATCTCGACCAACACATGCTCCAAGCTGCTTGCGCGCGTCCAGGAGGCGAGGACGGGGAGGCGGAGGGGGTCGACGGTGCCGGTTGTGGCGGAGACGAAGGGCAGGTTTACGCGGGAGAGGAACTGGCGAGCCACTAATCAATTGCGAGTCAAGCGCGGTGTAGTCGCGCCGCGCACCTGCACCGCCGGCGCCGCATCCGGGTACCTCTCGGAGCACGTAATCTTGAGGCTGTAGATACGATTCTCGTGCACGGTATGCCCAGGCCCGATAATGGTGCCGTTCCAGTTGCTCATCATGATGTCGTCCGAGTCTTCGAGGCCGTAGGAGCAGGAGCCGTCGCCGATGCCTTTTTCGCCCTTTTCGAGCTCTTCGAGGAGGCGGAAGTTGCGGGGGACTGCGGATGTACCCACCATTAGCACCCCTTTAGATATCACAAGCAGAGGGACGCACCCTTGGCGGCCATGGTGGACGTAGGCGAGTCGGGAGATGGATGTGGATTAGATGGTCACAGTAACGGTGGCGGTGGCGTGACGCGGATTGCCTTCGCAGTGCGCACTTGCTTTTGGATTTCTTTCTACTTTGACGTTCGGCGGCGCAACGAGCAAGCTTTACGATGATATCGTCGGTGTCGCCCATCTCCCTCTTATCCAATTAATATTAACCAGTATGGCTTGCAGTCAAAACCACCTCCGAGACCCTCGAGCATCCTGATTCCTGAGCCTCTGCGACAAATCTCCGACCAGGGTGCCCCGGTACCTCTTACGTTCGCTCGACGACGCCCTCGTCTCACTCGGACGGATGGCCACAAGCGGCGGTGACGCAATTTCATCGCGGCGCCCGCTTTTCTATCTGTGCACTGCGTTACGGGCCCTGCTCATCCCGTCGACGACCCCCGCACGAACGGATGTGCTGTGCGGTCCTGGCCTCGGCGCGCGCCCAGTAGCGCAACCTTGCTTTCTTTTTTGACTCCGCAAGCTGCGCGCGTCTATCGCTAGGTTTCTGCTCCTACTTCTGCCTCATGCGTATCGCATCCACTACGCCACGGTCGACCCTTTCGCCCCCCGCCGATACGACGGCCCACGTCCGACGACTCGACGAACGGGCTACGCGCCGTCATTCGATGTCCGCGCAGTGGGCACTGCGCAGACTACGCATAGTCGGCGGTGCGCTAGCCAGCCGAATCGCGACCCGTCCTAACGCAGCCCGCGGTTATCGACCGTCGCCCGATTCCGCTTTCGTTGGCGGTGGGCGACGACTCGCTTCCGCTCTCGTCCTCGTCCCCGGGCCCAGATGGGCCCTGAGGTCAGACGCACGACCGACGACCGACGTCTATCGGCGTGGTGTTCGCTGCTTTGCACGCATACGGCGCCATCCTTGGGGAAGGCCCGCCGCGTCTCCATTTTTTGCATCTTCGTGTCCGTAATCTTCTTCGCGGCGCGCAATCATCATCCCAAGGATGATATGATTTTTGTCCGCGGGCCAGGCAGGGGTGCGCTCACTCTTGTTCTCATCTTTCACTTCCGTCCGCTTCCTCTGCTGTCCGCGCGTACACCACCACCTGCTTACTGGGTCCCGGGGCCAGAGCCCGCTGTCAGGATTGCGCGGCGGCGGGTGGGGCCAATTTCGACGGCGCGTGGCGCCCTGCTTCCATCATAAGTCCATCCCATCGGCGCCAAGGGTGTTCGGAGAGTGTACAAAGAGATGCACGACGGCCTCGTGCTCGCCGTAGCGCGCAGCACGCCCGTGAAATCGAGCATCTACCAAGGCTCGTCGTTTGATGCCGCCGGGGACACAGCGAGCCCGCGCGCGCCCTGCTCGCAGAACGTAGGAGGCGGTAGAAGGGCGTATCGCAGGAGGCGCGCGGTGCTGCGGAGATCGCTGCGGCGTAGGCGGGGCGGGTTGCCACTACGCCCCGGGGCAGCAACGTGCTTAGCGCCGCCAGCGACCTTGGATGGACCGTACATCTCACGCACCTGCGGTGCCCGGTGGGCGGTATGCCCCAAAATCGCTCGACGTGGCGCCAGTTCTCACAGCGCGCGGCCCCTTGTTCGCAGAACGCATAGTGCATCACTAAGCCCATCAGGAGTGCGTGCAGGGGCTGTGCAGGACGTGCGGGGCGCAGCCCTGCTGCCCGTGGCAGAACGGGGCTATTGCTGTTGTTGATCCCATGTTTGAACCCGTAATTCCATCGGTACATCCACAGTGTAATAACAATTACTCCCCTTATTTTCCCTCACACACGTCGCAAAAGCCCACAATTTTTCCCAATTAGGAAGGGCGGGCCAAACTCCCTACATAATTCGCTAGATGGCATGTCTCTGGGACAAGTGGCTGAATTCAAGAATATTCTTTCCACAGTTGAGCGCAAAGGAAGTGAATTCGTAGGTGGGGTCGAACTAATTCATACTCCGCTTTGACTGCCGCAGATGGCTGATTCGGATACACATCCGAAATCCGGCGGCAAACTCCGGTATTGGGCGGCACACAACTCCGATTCCCGAACATGGACAACCGTCTTCTTTGATGCGCGGCACGGCGGAAACTTCATCACGACCTTACTTTAGTCTCCCTAGTCAGACCATAACTAGAGCTTTTTTTTTTTTTTTTGGTGGAGAGTGGAAAAAAAAACTAGTTATGACCTTACTTACCGTTCAGTTTAAACTAACGGGTTGGAAAATTTTTGAATTAGAAGACCCAAGGTTCGAGCCTTATCTAGCAGAAATGACCATTAACTACAGATCCTTGTAACAGAGCACCTCATACTCCTGCTATAATCACAGAATCAGTATGTCTGCAGGACCTTCAAATTCGATCATATAATACATACCTGCGTACCATGTGGTGTCCCCCAGCACAGGTGTGTTGGCAGCCACTTTACAAAGCCTGTGAAAATAAGGTCATTGGGTCATCGAATAGATCCTCTAAACTGGTTTTCCACATACCACTCTCTTTAAGGTAGGCCAGACAAAGATTGCCCGGATCAAGGCTGCAACGTGCGAGAAAAACCTTCTTTGAGCTTGTTTTTCCCAGACAGGGACAGGGTTGTAGCCAATTGACTGAGCCTCGAAGCGCCCACTATGTGAGACCCAAATCAAACGTGAATTGTCCCCAACCAGTACTTGATGTCGATTAAGGCCGTCATATGCGGCTCCATCGACGCATCATTTACTGCGTCTGAAGCTTAGGGTAGATGGACTCACCAAATCGCTCTCCCTCTACGACACCATTGAGGAAGTGTGACTCTCCGGCACCGCCGTTTGAACCAGGACTGGACACACGGTACCGCTTGGCAACGAATAGCAAGGAGCCATCATGCCGAACGCCCATCGAAATAGGGCCCGGGTTAATGAATCGGCATGGAATGTGTCGCCTCGAATGGACTCCCAATGGCAAATCTAAGGCTCGCGCTAAATCAATACTATTCAACCAGAGCGCAAGGAACACACGCCACTTACCTCAGCGCGGAGTAGGTCCGGATGCTTCCGATAGACCGCTTGTTTGAGGTCCTTGAGCTTCTCGCGTTCTGATGCCCTCCGGGCAGCAGACGACAAGAGCATCTCTTCCAGCCGTTTAAGCTTCATTTGTCCTTCCATTGCTTGCTTTTCCATCTCCTTCACCCTGAGATCGAATGTGGCATCCCGCTCATAGATCTTGCGATACACCTCCTGCTGTTCCTTTTTCGCGTCTTCTCTAGCTGCAGCCAAACTGTCAGCCAATATGTTCTTTTCTTCCCCCAATTTCTTCATTTGTTGCTGCATCTTGGTTTGCTCTACGTGCAACTCCTTCTGGAACGCCACCGCCTCCTTTTGCGCGTCTTCTCTAGCTGCAGCCAAACGATCTGCCAATATGTTGTTTTCTTCGTCCAATTTCTTCATCTGATGCTGCATCTTGGTTTGCTCTACGTGCAACTCCTTCTGGAACGCCGCCGCCTCCTGCCGTTCCTTTTTCGCGTCCTCTCTCGCTGCAGCCAAACTATCTGCAAATGTGTTGTTTTCTTCCTCCAATTTCTGCATCTGATGCTGCATCTTGGTTCGCTCCTTCTGGAATGCCACGTTCATCGCCGCAAACGCCTCCGCGACTTCCTCTTTCAAGTTTTTGACCTCACTGCTGTACTTATCCAGGAGTCGCTTCTCTGCTGTGAGTTCAGCGGATTTGGGATCCCGCAGAGAGATCTGCGCGGGCTCAAGTTGTCTGAACTTGTCAATGAACGACCACATTTGGCAAGCAACTTCGAAGTTGTCGTGAGCGATGATCTGTAGTGTTGAGCCTTTGTCAACGGATAATTGCTTGCATTTTTAAGACAGGTACTATACCGGGGTATAATGAGAATCGGTCGACCCAAGGTTCCTGAGAACGTCGATAGCAGCATGTAGAGTATACCCCAGGTTTGC